GTGACCTCACCCATTAAGTGAGGCCCTGGAGGCAGGTGACTCCAGCATCTGCTGCTTTGGCTTTGGCTCTTTAGACACAGTAAAGGGTGGTGAGGTCAGTTGCCAACAGCCAATGACAGAGGAACAACCATAGTCTAATCATGGTTTTCAGTTTTGGGGTTTATCCAGGAACAATCTTAGGTTGAAATCAGGGTGTCAGTCACTGGATTCTAGAATCATGACATTGAAGGGACTGCCTGGTCCACAAGTTTCATATAAAAAACCTCCTACACACCCATCTGCCTAGAAAGGTTCCCCTCACTATCTGGTCTGCTTCCTCTGAGCACACAGATGCCCATCCTATTTCTGTGGGAGTTCCCGAGGAGAGCAAGGACAGTGATCTTAGAAAACCTGGTCTCTTTCCTCGTCAGGGATCCCAGATGTGGAGACAGTGACCAAAGAGCCCTGGGATCTCCTACTTTAGTAAATGTCCCAAGTCCTCTTATCTTTTCTATGAAGCTCAAACACCTCACATCTAAACACAGTGGGTCTAACTTTCAGCAGAGGCCATGACCAACCTGGAATGCTAAGGTTCAGGGGTCACCTGTGGGGAGAGGCAGGGAGCAGATTCTGGTAACCCAGACTGGTGGACTCATGCCAGAGGATGGAGTGAGTGGGTGGACTAGCACTAACCCCCAGTCTGGAGGCTGGCCCAGGCTGGATTCACAGATTGCCCTGTTTCCAAATTGAAATTCACTTGCTTGGCCAGCAGCACTGGGAGTTAATATCTCTATGAGTGTATTTAGGAATCAGTTTCTGGAGAACTTAATCACCACTCCTTTCCTTCTCCTCAACCCCTTCCTTCCCCATCCCTTGCCCTTTAATTTTCCACTTGGCTGGGAATTCCCCGACAGTGTGAGTTCAGGCTTAGAGGGAGGGCGGAGGCAGCTGCTTCATTAGAGAGGATAATCTCATTGGAACCACTGACTTGAATAATAGCCCCTCCAAGGGACCAGGACCATTGTCCCCAAGGGCTTGTGGCACCTTTGAACTGGGGCTGGAAAGACTATGCAGAGAAAGTGGAATGAGGAAGGGAGATAAGAGAATGTTGGCAGGGCCAGACTCCAATCCTGGGGGCCCAGTGTCCTCTTGGGGCCTGCTTTTTGCCGTCATCTGTGGGTCTGTGTGGGATGGGGTGAATGTCTGAAAACTCAAGTCACAGATAGCATTCACTTTTTGCATCCTTATGACATTTTTGTCACACCTGGGAAATAGTTGAATCTTCCTCGACCTTCAGCGTACTCCCATGGCGGAACTGAAGGGAATATTTAGGAAGTCCTGCTGAAGGTGACATCTAAGCTGGCCCTATGAACCATGAATTACCCTCTACACATGTCCTTGCCCTCGCCTGGCTAATGAGAAATCTGTCCTGGAAGAGCAGCAGGCCATTCCCCTGACAGACCTCATGGACCTCAGAAGAAATTCATCCCTTCCTTCCCATTATCCCATCACATCCAAGGTCAATTGCCTGTGCTCTAGGACATTTGCAGCCCCTACCATCGTGGGCACTGAGGGATAGTAGAAATGTCAAAACATCCCTGGCACTGACCTAAAATTTTCTTTTCACTGAGAGCTGACTTCCTGTTATCCTGTGGCAGCTGGTGAGAAGGCAGATCTACAGCCCAGCCCACCACCCTCTCTCCCTTCCCTTCCTCCTGAGCTCTGGGGCTCCTTCTACCTCAATAAGAAGGATACTGCCATAGCTATCCCCTATCTTTCTGTCTTTGATTTGCCCCAGGGCCAAGTCTTAGAAAAGATTGGTGGGGTTGGATGAGAAAGAGAGAAGAGATGGGATAATATTGTAATACTAGCTAACACGTATTGTGGGCTCCTGTTCTCAATGCTGTACTTGCATAATCTTTCAAGCCTTATAAGAACCCTAGTAGGTAGGGTACCAATTTGTCCCATTTTACAGATGATAAAACCAAGGCACCGAAAGGTTAGGTAATTTGCTCAAGATTACACAGTTGGAAGGGATGTTACAAATTGTAAGCTATAGGTGGCTGCCCTGGAGATCTAAATCTGGGGCAGATAATGAGTAGTTAATTTTGGGGTTCCCAGGAGCATGGCAGGATTCAGCCATGTGAACTTGTCTTGAGGTCCCCGACCAGGTTTCTTTGTACCTCTGAAAGAGAGAACTGGATCTCTATTTGGTCAGTCCAGGTGTTGCTTGGCCTAAAAGCAGCCTTTTTTTCCCTTCTCTTCATAATTTAATCAAAGACATTTTTCAGACCTACTGATTGCTCTCAGAAATAAGAACTTCAAAGTTGGGGAGTCAGTGAATAATTTAAGCCTGTACTGGCTCTCCTAGTCTGCCGCTAATGGGAGTAATAACACTGTTAATAGCGATGTCAGTGCAGACACCCTGGAAAAGTCCATAACATTAGCTTAATGGCTGGAGGTAATGAAGTCCTCCCTGAGAAGCTGGTAAATTAACTTCTGAGACTTTTAGGCAGACGCCCTTGTTGCCATGGGTCCACTATAGCAGCCCGGGAGTACCATGGAGACAACCACGCTCATGTCTGACCTTTCGCTCTTGGGATAGAAGTCCTGAAAGGTCCTGGAGAGCCCAAGTCCCGGTAATATTCCAAGTGCTGCTTCTTAGTGGCAGGCAAAACAGCGAGCAGCCTGGAAAAGACTGAAGGGCAACTTTTAATTGCCCAAAGTGCACAAAAGGAGCATCAAGCTGGCAGGGAAAGTGGGTTCAGTGTGCAGCAAGGGGTCTGTCCCTCAACTCTTAGTCTAGGATCATCGGGGAGGTCAAGCATAATGGTTAAGAGTGCAGACTCCAGTATTGGCCAGTTTGGCTCAGTGAATAAAGTGTCAGCCTACAGACCAAAACGTCTTGGGTTCGATTCTGGTCAAGGGCAAGTACCTTGGTTGCAGACTCCTCCTTGGCCTGGGCCTTGATAGGGTCTCATGCAGGAGGCAACCAATTGATGTATTTCTCTCACATTGATGTTTCTCTCTGTCTTTCCCTCTCCCTTCCACTCTCCCCAAAAATCAATGGGAAAATATCCTCAGGTGAAGATTAACAAAATAAACAAACATAAAAAAAGTGCAGACCCAGTTCATCTGGGTTCACATGGGATCTCCAATTAGCTGGTGACCTTGGACAAGTAACTTACCATCCTCTGCAGGTTCTCCATCTGCAAGGTAGGGGTCTAAAATGTTACCTACCTCACAGCATCATTAAGGGACTTAAGCGACATGGACTAAAAGCCCCTTATCACAGAGCCTAATAAGCATTTTGGTGTCTTCTAGCCGGGACTGTATTACTTAGAACTGTGTTTTTCCTTCCACAGTACACATCCCATCTATTCTAAGCCATCCTTTTTGGCCCTTCTTTCATTAGTCCTCCTCATTCAGTGGCTTCTCCTTTGTTTGCTAAATTCACCTCTCAGACTCTCCACTGTTAGGCCTTTCTTCTCACTGAGGCCAATGTGTTTTCTTCCCTGTCTGAGACTGGAGGAGAGCCCCCTCACCACCACCAACAAGCTTTCCTCTGTGCCTGAGAGTCACCCTGAGAGCAGCTCAGGTGCCCAAGTGCCTGTCTTTCCTCATCTTTTACCCCACACCTCACATGTCTGCTTCTTGAAGCAGGTGTTCTCTCCTCAATTTCTCCTTCCCACATGGGTTCAATATCCCCGGATGTTCCATTTCCCACTAAACCCCGGTCCAGTGCCCACCTGCCCTGCAATAGCTCCCGACATCTACCTCCCTCTGCAGAGTCTATTATCTTTCACCGTGGAGACCAGCCACTAGGACTGCCGACCTGCCGTTCTCCCTGAGGACCCTCTTTCCGTCCCCCCACAGCAGGGTCAGTAGTCCAGAGTTTCCAAATCCTGGCGCTCAGCAAAGCCACACATCCACAAGGCTGGCCTGACTTGGATCAAATGCTGTTCCCAGAAGCCTGATGCAGCCCTGCAGGGAACTCCCTCTGGGAGGGGGGAAGGCCTGCTCCAGCGGAGAGCCTAAAGCGCCTTCCCCATGTGACAAGCGCAGTTGGGGGAGGGCCATGACTGCTATGTGCATCATTCACAAGGTCCCATCAGTTAAGATAGAAAGATCCAGGTCACCCTGGATGGGGTCCACCTGTGACTCAGCCCACTTTGAACAGTCAGGACATTAAGCAATAGCAGCAGACCTTCTGTGGCAGTTCCCTCCACCAACCCACCCCTGACCCCAGCCGTAGAGTTGGGATTTTTATCCAAGGCAGCTGGGCTCCAGAGCACACTTTGAACTGGTGCCTCTGCTCCTTTGATCCTCCCTTCCCTCTTCCTCCCACTGGCATTTACCTCTGTCTGCTGGGCATGAGGATACAGAGGATTCTACAAGAAGTCAGTGCTGTTTCTCTCTGAGCAGCTCGAGCTTGGCAGGTGAGGGCTGCACTCAGCCCAGTAATTGTCGTATAATCTACAAAGTTTGATAGGAAACTCCAAAGTGCTTTTAGCTTTGCCTGGTGTGGGGTGGGTGGGGGCTTGCAGGTGCACAACAGTTGAACCTGGAAGGGTGGGTAGATGTTGGATGGGGGGAAAATTAGGGAGAGGGCTACTCAGACAGAGAAATTGATGTACACGAAGACAGAAAGGTCTGAAAGAGTATATTATAAAGTGGACAGGTAAGGTCTAGTTTACCTGAAGAGTGGGGAGAGTGACAAGGCCAAGGATGAGGAGGGAGGTGGACTAGAGGGGACTTTGGGACTGTGAGTGAGGAGGAGGTGAGGGGACTTTAGGATGAATCCCAAGTCTTTGCTTTTGGCAAGTGGTTATGAGAATTTCCATCTTTTTCAAATTCGGGCATGATGGGGAGGACAGGCTGAAGGAAAGAAGCAAAAGGGTCAGTCCTGGATATGATGAGTTTGGACAGGCCCTGGGAGCCACTGGTGATGACTGGCCTCTGTGTCAGCCCCTCCTCGGACCAGGCACCTTCTCCTGAGCCCCTCGTTGGTCTCCCCACAGGTGCACCCGGAAGGAGCGCTGTGAGCGGTCCCAAGAGCCCCACAGGTTTGCCTCTGAGATGAAGCAGTGTGTCCGGCTGACCGTCCATCCCAGCAACATCTCTGTTTCTCAGTACAATGTCCTGGTAAGGGCAGTAAGACCAGGAACCTTGTCCCCACCAAAAAGGGCCACAGCCCATGCCCTTCGCGAGGCCTGGGCCCAACCGGGCCAGCAGGGTGGTCTGAGAGCAGGACCAAATATTACAGATAGTGTCCTTGTGAATGGGAGAGGGCAGGCAGAGAAATACTGATATTGGGGAAGAGGCTCTATGTATAATGGGCACAAAGACAAGGAAAACTGTGATTACAACAGTGATCCAAAGGGTGACCGAGAGAGGGAGGGTTTGGGGAACACTATCTTTGACTGTAAGATGGGAAGGATGTGTGTGCAGAGGGAGACAGGGATATGATGGCTCTGTGTTGGTGCACTGGGCACTTGGTGGTTGGCATTGTCATTTTTCCAAACTCTGGAATAATGGAAGAGGTGCTTGACCAGAGGTACCTCCATCTGTCCATCTTTTTTACAGCATGCAAATCCAGAAGCATTCGTTTCCTGGGTCCAAATCCATTCAAATGTAATGACGCGTCTTTTACCCTTCTACCACCTTCTCTGTATGTTCTTGTAATAAATTGGATCTCTTCTCTATATCAATATTGCCTTATGTTTATCTCTTTTCTTTCTCTCTGGTCTCTCTTGCTCTCTCTATTTCCTCCTTTATGCCATGCTCTTCTTTTCCTCATTTCACTCTCCTCTTCCTCTGCTGGGCTGTTCACAGCTGGTCCTGGAGACGTACAATGTCCCGGAGCTGTCAGCTGGTGTCAACTGCACGTTTGAGGACCTGTCAGAGATGGATGGGCTGGTGGTAGGCAATCAGATCCAGTGCTATTCCCCGGCGGCCAAGGAGGTGCCCCGGATAATCACGGAGAATGGTGAGTGGTCCCTGGAGGCAGGGCTAGGTGGCATGGCTTCCCCCTGCCTGGCTGAGAACTCAGGTCAGATGAGGTAGCGGGCAGGGGGTGGGGGGCTGAGGGAGCCTTCAGCAAGGGAGGGTCAGAGGAAGGGGTGTGGGTTGGTGGATATGTTACAGGAAGAGAGAGATGAGATGCCATTCTCTGCCCTTGGAATTGACTATTGAAACCAGGTGAGCATCCAAGAGTCAAGCTCATGCTCAGTGAGAGCAGCAAGGTGGTATCAGGGCAGCAATCTGGTCGAGTTCAAGGTTGTGCTGGAATGTGAGAGGGCTGTCCTGGAGGGGCAGTGGAGGAGGGAGTGGGAGGGTCATCTGGCTCCTTGCCCCCTGCCCACACTGCTGGGTCTCTGCACCCCCACCTTGCCCTGCCTTCCCAGAGCAGCCTGTTGGTTGCCGGCTGCACTGGGAAGGACTGGGTGGACAGAGGCCCAGTGCTGGTGAAGGACAGACCCTGCAGGGCAGATTGATTCCACGTTGGCCCTCCCATTTGGGCTTGTCACACTTGTTCCAACCTGATTGATTAATGAGGCTCTCGGGGAAGCACAGGACCAGGCTGGAAGTGGGGGCCTGGGGTCAGGGCTGTGAATTAAACATGGGCTCTAGCTCCTCCCTGGTGCCAGCTGAGGATCCCAGGGCCGACCGCCTGAGTGGAGCCCTGAGCACACCTGAAGAGGGGCATTGGGACAGGGTTTCTCTTCACAGAGATGCAAGTGTGTGTGTGTGCGCGCACACACACACACACACACACACACACACACACACACACAGGAAAAGCCCTCTCGTGTTTTGTGGTAGCATTAGTGAGTGGCGACACATTTCTCCTGGTGGCTAATCAATGTGTTTGTAACTCGTGAGTCTGGCATGGATCTCATGCATGTGAATGAATGCACATTCAAATTTTTGTGTGTGTGAGAGAGAGAGAGAGAGAGAGAGTATTATGAAGCTGATGGGCAAATGCAGAGTGGGTGCCAGAAGTACAGTGTGGGAGGAGAAATAAACCAGAACCATTGTCTTCAGCTGCTTTTGGGGTTGTCCTGCGTCTGGGCCTGCTGATTCAGAATGGTCAGAGCAGGGAGCACACCTCATGTTCAGCAGGCTCCTCTTTCCCAGGGTGCATAACTGTCAGTGTGACCCCGACACAGGGCCTTGCCCTCCCCCTGACCTTGTGCCGGCTCTGCCCCGCAGGGGACCACCATGTCGTCCAGTTGCAGCTCAAGTCAAAGGAGACAGGCATGACCTTTGCCAGCACCAGCTTTGTCTTCTACAACTGCAGCGTCCACAATTCGTAAGTGCCCCAACCTCACCCAGCTCCCTGTTCCTGGGGTCAAAGTTCATCCAGAAATAAAAGAACCTACCACCATTCCCAATGAGCTCCTATATAGGGACCCTGCAAGGAGGCCTCCTTCACCCCAGAAGCTGGCAGGCCTCTCTGCTGGTACCCATGGGGTTCATGGAAAGAGAGTGGAATGAGCAGAGTAAGACCCTGCTGGGCAGAGAGCTCCTAATCCCTCTCCCATACATCTTCTCTGGCAAAACTGTCTCACCTTTTGCACTTCCCCCATCTATTGAGGAGAGGGCACATCTCACCTGAAGCCTGGAGAGAGGAGGGGTCTGACTAGGGAGGAAGCCCTATGTCTGGGAGGGCGGTAGTCCAACAAGTCACTTCCTGCTCAGCTCTGCACAGGGCGCTCAGGCTGGGTCAGGATACAGGCTGGGGCTTTGCCCTGGGGTCTTGTTTGGTACAGCCTCCCTTCCCAAGGGCAGGTGAGGGGCAGAGGCTCAAGCTCAAAGTCAGACTAGCTGGAAACGTAGTCTCTCTGTGCCCTAGTGTCCTCTGGAATGGGGAAGAAGTAGTTTTTCTAGGGATGTCACCCAAATGTTGAACCACCAACATGACAAGAGCACTGTCCCTGCAGAACAGTCGCTGGTGGGGACGGTGCTGGTTGCTGCCCTGCCCCTCGGCCTGCCTGGCCCACAGAACAGCTGCCATGACTAGAAGAACTGGGACCAGGAGAGCAGTTAGAACCCTGTCTGGCCCATTCGTTGGGCACTCTCAAATTTTTGCTGTTATATTATTACTTCCTTCCTAAGATGATGGAGTTGGAAAAGGTACAAGTCGTGGGGTTTTGTTTTTGTTTTTGTGGGTTTTTTTTCACCATAGAAACCTTTCTCCAACCAAATTAGGTGGAAACCCCAATAAACATAATAGATGTAAGTAGGAGCTGCTGTGGTTGAGCATTGAGAGGGCCTGAAGACCTCTCTTTAGGAAGTCCACATATCTGTTTCCTCACACAGTCCCAAAGAAGCTCTGTGGAACCCCTGGGTTCCATTGAGAACAGTTTGAAAACCCTGCTTGTTTTAAAAATGCCGTTCTATTTACCTCTCCATATAGGACAAGCTACTTCACATAACCAAAGGCATTTGAAGGACAGGTGGAATTTTAGGGTTTAACCATCTGATTATAGCAGCCATTGAACCTGAGCTTGGCTGTCTTTGGGGCCCCAAATACTAGTAAGAGGCAGCCAGTCCTTCCAGCCAAAAACAAGTGTTTCTTTGTCTGGGTTCTTTGTCTGCCTCTTGCCATAGGACTTCTCATGGCTTTATCACTCCCCTTTATCCCCTGTAAGAAAGCAGAGCAGTAAGTAAATCATGTGTGAATTTCCATGCCATCCACAACATGAGTGTAAGCATGTGCTATGTGCAAGGCAATGTGTTACTCTTCAGACAGGTAATCAAAAATTCGTAAGACCAAAGACTCGATCCTTGCCCTCCAGCAGTCACGCCTAGTGGACTAGTGGATGGACTGGACAGTGAATAAGCAAAATATAACACAAGGCCAGGACTGCCCAGAGACATAAACAAAGGGCTTGGTGGAATGAGGGTCCAGTCTGACCATTGGTCAAAACAAGAGGAGGGTTGGCCAAAAGGAGGAAGAGAAAGTGGTACTCTAGGTGGAAGGATGGAGCCTGGCATGGCCGAAGCACCCAGCACCAGTGGGCCATGGACCTGGACGCCAGGGAGGCAAGGCATTTGGGATTTATGCTTTGGAAGAGGGAACCATGTTGGGGTTTTAAGTAGGAAGGAACTTCTATAAAGTTGCCTTTGTTTCCTGAGGGTGAAGTGTAGAGGTGGGGTTTCTATCCCACTGAGGACAACCTGCTTTTGCCAGGGAGGTGGGAGGATCCATATGGGTGCTAGTCAGCTGAGAGAGAGCCTGGAGCCAATTTGAACTAAAATTCAATTTCTTTGTTCGCTCTAAATTTCATGGGCGCTCTGGACAAGCCCCTCTCCTCCAAGCTTACTGTTCCCCAATTCAGCAAAAGCGGGTGCCATGCTATAGAAATGGAAGGTGGTTGCTGAGGCTCTTGGCGACCAAGGTTGTCAACTACATGAGTGAAAGAGAGGAAGCCAGAGATTCTTGGCTGCCTGAGGACTTAAAGAGAAAAGGGGTGGGTTTCTATAAAGTTTGTTCTTCCAGAGTATGTGAGGGTGGGTTCTCTTACTACTAAAAAATGTTTTCCTCCACCCTAGAGTTTAGAAGGACCTCAATTTTGGATTCACCCAGGTTATCTGATCTATGCCTCTTCCTCTTCTGTGCCCAGGTGCCTATCTTGTGTGGAGAGCCCATTCCGCTGCCACTGGTGTAAATACCGACACGTCTGCACCCACGACCCCAAGACTTGCTCCTTCCAGGAAGGCCGAGTGAAGCTGCCTGAGGTAGGCCCGGAAGCCAGAGTGGAGGGTACTGCTTGCTTGCGAGCAGGGAACACACAGGCAGGCCTTCCCTTAAGGAGAGAAAACAAAGGCAAAACCTGCAGGATCCCCCGCTTGTCCCCAGCCTCTAATCTTAAGGGACCACGTTATGAAAGCAGTAATAATCAAAGCTCTGCACTGGGATCCGGGGGCTCAGGGTCAGTCCTAGAGGTTCAGTTCCAGACAGAGGTGCATTCAGGTCTCAGGTTGCTCCAGCAGGTGAGTTCTAGAACAAGTCCAGAGAAATGAGTATGTGTGTGTCCTGGAAATAATTGTAAGCACCCAACAAAATTGTGCACAGATTCCTCAGAGCACTGCACAGAGCAGAACTGAGAGGGTTTTTTGTTTGTTTGTTTGTTTGTTTAAATGTAATAAAATGAAGAGAGATAGAGAATGAAAGGATGGTGTCCTTACTCAGAGCAGTGGTTCTCAAATTGTGTTCCCCAGACCAGCGGCATCAGCATCACCTGCAAAGCTATTAGAAAGGCTAAGTCTCCCAGCCAGCTGGGTGAGAACATCTGGTTGGGGCAGGGTACTCTGTGCTTCCACCGCACAGGCCAGTTTGGCAATCAGGAGATGGAGTCGGGCCTCGTTGCTAACTTGTTGTATCTCTTTCCCCTCCTAATCCTTATTCTTATCCTTGAAAACAATTCATCACTAGAAATACTCTGTGCCTCTATTGTTTGTGACCTTTCTTAAAATGTAAGTGTGTGAGCAAGGACCTCAAAGATAACAGGTATAAAAACACTTTGCAAAAGTCTGCTATTGTTCAAACGGATGGTGCTTGTGTGACTCCCGCCACTGGGTCAGTGGTTCTGAACAGAGAGGTTACTTTAGAATGCTGTGATTTAGAATTTGCATAGACACACAGAAGAAGAGGTTGTGGGAGCCCCCAGACATAAGCCCGTCCTCCTCCCCCTCTCCCCCCATACAATGGGGTTTGTCTGTGGCTGGCAATGGTTGCTCTGGATTCCTGATCCAGAAGAGATCCAGACAAAGGTTGTCCCTTTATACAGGAGGAAAGAGGTTACATCTTGGCTTTAAGTAGGGTATGAATCTAATGTTTGTGTCCATTTTTTGCTCTTTAACTAAGACTCAATGGATCTAAAGCTAATAGGACACAACATATGGATTAACAGACAACAGGGTCCACCCTTGGCATGAAGAACCTGATAAAAAGTTGGGTTGTGTCCTTGATCCTGGGCCTTTATCTTTGGGCATGGGGTCAGGAGCAAAGGGTTGGTTCACCCACCAAGACCAGGCTCTGAGAGCCTAGGAAGCAACCTGTTATTTGGGTCAGAATCCTGCACATTTCTGGATGGGAGCAGAGACACAGGCTTTCCACCTCTCTCCACTTCCAGAGAGGCTTCCCATGTGGAGAGGCCCAGGAAGGAAATGAAAGCAGAGGCATTTGAGCTATCTGGTGGATTTCAAAGGCCCCTAATCACTTAATTACTTTGAAGCAGGTTTTCAAATCTCTGCTTTTTCTTTCTCATTTGCTGCTCTCATCCCAAGTTTTTTTCGTTTAAATAAATATATAAAAGGGACTTGCATCTGCTGCTCAGAAAGAGGAAAGAAGAACTAGGAGAGAATAAAACAGAGCCCACCATGTTTCCCAGGGCAGTGCAAGGATCCCTACGAAAGAACAAGTCTTCAAGGACTCAGGTTGCCAGCAGGCACACCGCCCGTATGTACTTGAGACTGGCAAAGGCTGCTGGGGATTCAGGGCACTTCAGAGAACTTGGTGCCAGGATGCCCAGGAGAGGGAGAGGCCTGCAGTACGTGACCATGGAGGGGTGTGGAGATGGACTGGCCTACAGGTCGACCCTCAGCTCTTCCTATTTCACTCGAGCCGTTTATGGTGAGCCTGGCAGCACACTTGGAATGGCCATGTCTCCCTTACACATTATTGAATGACATTGACTGACTCCTCTTTTTATTGGAAATTTACTTTCAGAGAAGGTAACATTAAGGATGTGCTTCTGGTCCAGGCTTGCAGGCTACCTTCTATTCAGCTCCATATGAGGACCATTTTGAACATAATATAGAGAAGAGAGGCCACATTGACCACCTCATGATTGTCATTGGAGCAGCATCTTCCTAGAGAATGCACCAAATGGAAAGAAGTTGATAAATATCTGTAGACTGTCGACTGGTCTAGCTATTTTGGGTCAGTGGAAGGAGGTTATTGTCCTCAAATTTAAAAGAAAGCCCCTGGCTACTAATGGAAATATGGTGAATTTTTTTTTTTTTTTTTTTTTTTTTTTTTTTTTTTGTTTTTGTTGCAGTTTTGTTTTCCGTATTTTTGTTCTGGGAAGAAATCATAGCCAGAATAAGGGTTAATAAAGAAAATCACACATTTGAAAGGTGATTCTGTGGAAGCACCTGATATAAGTGTCCCTTCTCTGCAGCTGGGGAAAGCTTGTCCACAGCATGGCACTCTAAGCCCTTGCTGGGCAACACCATTCATCCTTCATTACCCAGCTTCAGAGCATGTCCCACATGCAAGGCATTGTGGGAGACATAGAGGTATATAAGAGATCTGCAAATCTGTATTTAGACAAAGAGGTACTGGTCACAGGATCTATAATAGTAGGTGGAAATTAGCTGGAAAGCATCTAGGAGAAACCCATCCCACAAAATGGTCTTACTGGGTGAGATTCCAGTGCAGGCTTTGGTCTCCCAGTGCTACCAACAGAAACTCCATCAGTCTCGGGCCTGCAGCCCCTGGGACATCCAGGTGCAGACTACTCTCCTGGATGAAAGGGAGACCCAAGTCCAGTGGTTCCTGTGGAAATGCCTGGGTGTTCATTTCCTTTTAACATTGAAGTGCAGGGATCCAGACAGGGTCCTTTTGTTGGCCATCGGGGATGCTGCCAGGTGCCTTTTCATCTATCCAGCCCCATCCTGAACTCTCAGAAGGCTTTCCTCTGTGCATCTTCCAATACTGGCTTTGTTGACTATCACCGGGGATGTTGAATTACCTTTATTATTTCCTGAACAAAGAGTGCATTCAGGTGAAGTTATGGGTCCGGAACGGACAATTGGTCAATCATTGTTGTTATTATATTAATGGCATGTATTCTAGCATAATTACAATGATTACAAGTAGAATGACCAGTAACATATGTCCTTTGTGGTAACTGTATTCCAGTTAAAGGGAATGATTGTGTTTCAACTAATGATGGCATTGTGATAGCCACCCAGGGTCTTTAGATCAGCAGCCAGATCCTGGGCACCAAAGAGAGAAGGGAGAGGGAGGCGAGGGAGAACTGAGGTGGATGAGAGGGTCTTCCTGTTCTCAGCCCTGTTCCCCAGTACCCGCTGAAACTCCTCACTGCCCATGGAATGGCCTTTCACTGGGAAGCTGTGACCAGACCCTGCCCTCCCCTCTACCTAATGGGAGAAGTCACTGGCCCCCAAGTGGCTTTGACATTCCCAGGCCTCTCCCCCTGCTAACCTGAACTTTCCATCAGGCCCACACACTTAATAGCAGCAATCTGTAGGAAGCAAAGGTGAGCATCCACGGAAAAAAGCAAATTCATTGACAAAAATGTGTCTGCAATGGACTTGTTTACTGTTATTTCTCACCTAAACTGAAAAGCAGAGTGAGCTGCAGCTGGATGGTCTTTGCCAGGAAGGCAGAGCACATCGGGCCCACGGGGCCCCGGGCTCAGAGGAGATTCCCGTAGCCCCTCTCATCTTGAAGTTCAAGCAGAATTTACTCCAGAGAACAGTTGTATGATCAGAAGAGGCTAAATGAATTCTATTTGATTTCCAAAGCTGTGCTTGAAAGGCTCTCCCAACCTTCCTGACCGCCCCGCTGCCCCTGAGAGGACATCCATACCCAGAACGGATATCAGGAAATCTGCTATCCCAGGGGCCAGTCCTCTCTGGGACAGAAGACAGTGCCAACCCCTGGACTGCCGCTTGCTCCTGGTGCTGAGATGAGCCCTGTGCGCTCAGGGCGGCCAAAGGCACTCACCTCCCCACAGGACTCAGTGGAGTCCTTGCAGAGGAGCCATTCCTGGGACCCAACCCAAAGGAACAAAACCACTTTGCCATGCCCTTCACCCTCTTTTGAGAAAAACACAGCCAAACACAGCTAAAGCACTTGCTTCCAATCCGTGCGCAGCCCCCACTCCAGGTATTCCATTACTGGGTTGCCATTTCTCCAGACAATTGCACTTTCCATCAATCTCGTCTGCCCCTCCCCCGTTAAGGTTATGGGTATTTCCTTTCTGTATTATTACTTTGCTTTCTCCATAAACCGGCCCATCGTAGATCATGCTAATGGCATTATGAACTTGGGGAACAGCAAGAAAATATATGGTGCGTTACATTTTTGTATTGGGCATCACGGGGCTGAGAAGGTGAGTGTAAATTTGGGGGGTTGGTTGGGGATAGAGCTGGCTTGTCTTTGGAATTGATGGGGGTTGAGGTGACATGGAAGGAAAAGGTGACCTACAAATCGCTTATTCCCTCGGTGCTGCCCCAGCCCAGCTCTCCCCTCCCCCCATAGCACCACAGTCCCCCAATCCTGCTGTGACAACAACCAGGAGATGAGAGCCCCTATCTTGTAACCACACCAGGGGCTGTAAATCCATAGCCTGCCGCCCCACCACAGGCAGCACCAGCCCTGAAGGCAGCCTTTCCCTCCCAGCTCAGCAGCAGTCTTTATGCCCTTGTTCAATTATTTAAATATGCAATGAGACCTCATCTAAAGCAGCCATTGACATGCTGGACATGGTAGGCTGGGAAGCATCTTTTTTGCTTTCATACTTTTCCTTGGCGTTCCTTCTCAATTAGCAGTGGAGACCACAATATGCATAGGGCTGGACAGGTGACCTGGAGCCAACAGAGCCGCCTCCTGCAAGCCAAGACATTGAAGGTTTCCTTGTACCTCAAGCCACTGCCACTCCCCACCCCCAGTCCATTCTTACAACTGCAGAATGTAGCCACAG